GGACGGTTTCCGAAATCCATCCCAAAGGTAGGGACGTTTTGTGCTAATTAGCCTATTGCGCAGTGAAATGTGAAAATAAGGATGAAAATGCTAAAAAATGAAAAGTTAGGACGTTTTCCACACTAACAATGAAAGGTGGGGACGTTATATGCTAATTACTCTTTACTTAATGGAAAAGTCTAATGAAAATAGATGAAAATGACGTTTTATGCAATCAAATGTGTAATCAAGGGTGAAAATGAAAAAAAAAAAAAAGGTGTGAACGTTTTGTACAATAATAATTAAATGTAAGGACGTTACAATAGATGACATAAGAGAATATGACATTTTATATTAGGGATGACAAAAAAATCCGACAAATCCGATAGTTGCGGGGCCCCGCCTCGAACGTGGCATGGAAAACCCTCTTAAACGGGTAACGGGACGGGGAATTTTGCCCCGGGACGGGTTTAGGGCGGGGACAGGTAAAGAGCGCCCCGCCCCCGCCCCATAAAATTTTGTTTTAGAATCCAATACTTTAAATGAAAAATTTTACAAAATTTCATTAGTTCTAATAGAAAATAGCAACTAAAATTATTTGTCTAAATCTAATGAATATGAACAATAAAAATAAATTATCAAAAACTAAAAAAAAATAAAAAATTTGAACGGGGCGGGGATGGGGCCGCCCCGTTGTCATCCCTATTTTACATATACTAAACTATCCTATCCAAGACAAGTTGTTTTTTAATATTTGCATAGCAGTGTGGACTTAGTAACATCAACAAAGAAAACAGCAATTTTACTAAGAAAATGACATGGTTAACATCGAAAGATATAATTACTAAAGAAAATACTGATAAAGAATCTTAGCTGTTATCTTTTCGTTGAGAACTAAAAATCTGATTTCTTGAAATGTTCGTATGATGAATTGCAAATCCTTCATGAGGATCCAAAAATACTATGATATAAATTATCAGTTGAATAGTATCAAGAAATTTTACTATCTACCTTCAAGAAAGATGCGATGAGGGGCAACACTCAGACATTGGTGTGCGTAAAAAAAGTAAAGCAAGAGGCACACGAAGAATATGCCATTGCCAGGAGACATAATTGAAGGCATTGCAGAAGGTGCTGTTGATGATGACTCGTTCATGTCGGCCAAGTTGAGGTCAGAACTTAGCTCACAACTCGGGAAAATAAGCCGAGATGCTGTTTTTATCTGGTTGAAGGTAAGGAGGGGAGACAGCATGGTTAAGCTCCGGGTATGTGTCGTGGTTGATCGGTGCTCAAAACTGCAAAGGAAGTTTATGTTGGGAAATTATTTAATTTCCCGTGATGGGTCGACATATGTAATTAACTGTGTATAAATGTTATCT